CTCTCTATTTTCTTTCCTAATTTTATTTGTATAATTTGTTTAAACTATTTTAATTATTTTTTCCTACCTATTTGAGATTATTAGAAATTTTCTTTTTAACTCTTTGGTTAGTTGTTTTGACAATTATTTTGTTCGTTTTCCATTTTTAAGTTTACTTTTTTTAATTAATTTTAAGTTTTAACTCATGTCATCATCTATTTAATATTGTATCCATGTTATGATCTTGTGAATTATAATTTTGTTTAATTGTCAAACTCTCGTCGATAATATTTTCTTATTTGACTTTATTCTCTCTAATTTTTTTTAGGGTATATACTCTTTCTATTTCTTTTCTTAATTGAATTTGATAATTAGTTTAAACTTTAGATTTTTTTTTTATTTAGCTAGTGTGGACTATAAAAAAAAATTCTTTTCTCATAATTAGTTAGAATAATAAGAATTTTTTTTTCTTATATTTGGTTAGTTATTTTATAATTATTTTGTTCGTTTTCTATTTTTAGTATTATCTTTTCTTAATTAATATTAAGTTTTAACATAACACATGTCACTATCTAGTGAACTAGAATTTTGCTTATATGTCGCGTTCTCATCGTACATATTCTCCTTTATATAATAAGATATTTTGCACCCAACGGTTTACAATATAATATGCTAACTAAATATATCTTCAAGGGTTGTTTCTCCAATGCTTAGTTCAGGGGCAAATACGTCCGAAAATTGACAAACCAGTGTCAATGGAAAAAGGTCATCTTCCGAAAAAAATGTCTAAAACGCAAGGAGAATTTGATAAAGTGTCTACTTATGTTATTAACCCTTAATTAAATTTATTTTGATTTTAAAGTAAATCATCTATTTTTTGATAAAAAGAAAAATCAATTTTTACTTTTGTAATTATCCAACCGTAACCGCAAATGCTCGAGAAAAGCAGCTTTTGGATTTGAGAGGTTTGGAGCGACACGGACTAGTATAAAACATTTTCTATAATTGTTGTCAAACGCCAGCATTTGAACCAATCACTCTTACCTAATTTTTGAAATTTGTTATCCCATTTTCATTTTAG